GATTGAAACAAGTTAAGGATTTATAAAGTGAGCCATATGGCATAAATTGTGTAATAACTATAAACTGAGTTGGGTTGTAAGTGCCCCAAGAAATTGTTGGTCCTTGTGTGTGCCACCCATTGGTTATTAGGTACATCTGAGGTATTAGAAAGCAATTACAAATTTGGGGATTTTAGGAAAAACAAAGGAAACTCTTGCGAATTTTCTGTAGAATTGGCAGAATTTAGACAAACTTCGGGAGAGCATATCTCCCTCCATAGAGGTCCGATATGGACGTTCCATACGCCATTTTAAATCTTGAGATGTCCCCTACATTGTGTTAAAATATGAGAAATTTCTAGGTTGCACGCAGCCCTGTAGAAACCTGCAAACACGGACTGTCTAGAACACACCTGTGCAGGGGCTGTTTCTGGCAGTTTTTGGGAATTTTATTCCAGCTTCGTTTCTCGGTCAAATTAAGTGTATGATATATCAAATTGAAGCTTGAGGTGTCTAGTTCATGGTATAAGAATTTGAGAGCAATTGAGTGAGTGGTGTTTCTGCAGTAATTCGTGGAGTGAAGGATGTTTGGAGCTATTTTGGGGTTGGTTGGCAGTTTTGCTTGTCCAATTTCAAACGGCGATATCCGGAGCAAACGAGACCGAAATGACTCGTGTGATGGTTCATTCGAAAGGTATTTAAGTAAGAAAAAAAGATAGCTAAAGAGGAAGGACTGGTTTTGTGCGGTGTGTCCACAGAAAAATAATAACCGAACCATGTTCGGATGAGTGGAAAACGTAAAATCGAGAAATTAGCTAAGTGGGTTTATGGGAACCCCTTAGTGTCTTGTATTGAGTAAAATAAGATATAAAAATAGTTTAAACAAGTATTTAACAAGAGTTTACAGTTATGGTCACAACTATTAATTATTACGCTTTTTATTGTTTTAAATACTCGTGTAATAACGGAAAAAGTTTATTCGCATTTTTATAAATGAATTGCTGTGATTGTAACTGCGCTTAATATCATAATTAATGTTAACAATACTGGTGTACAACGAGCTGTTACAAACCTCACAAGGCAGTAGCTTGAACCTTTCAAGAATGGGTTTTTATCCTACAAGTTGCTTGCTTCCAAGTGTTTGGGATGATCAAAGTGAGAGGAGATGAACAAAGGTGAAATCTTGCTTGGTTTCCATGGAGGAACTCGAGCTCATTTGGAGAGGAAGAGAAGAGAGAATACTTCTAGGGTTTTTGAAATGTTTCCTACGTAGAAAATCTGAATATTGAAGAAAATAAATGAGTCTAGGTCACTTAAAGCACTAACCACTAATATGCCGGTATTAGTTCTAAGTGCTCTACTAATTGTTTTTTTTCAAACTTTATATTCTTAACCTAGATATTTTTCTAGGAATTAACATATTTTTACATTAATTTTTCGAGATACTTTGTCGATACGCACTTTCTATTGCGAAATAGTCAGTATTAGTTCTGACATCACTGATTATTATTTTCATCTCAATTTTGATATCGTTAACCTAAATATTTTTCTAGGAATATTCATATTTTTATTTCTATTTTTTGATTTACATTGTCGGTCTCCATTTATACTGTGAAATACCTGGCGTTTGCACTTTCCTTCTGCAAGGTGACTTAGTATTAATTATATGCTCTTTCAATATTTATCCAAAGTCAATTATGGAATTATTTCCTAAACTCATAATTAATTTATTTAAAATTCCTAATTTATGGACATATAGCTATTTTGCATTTTGAGGCCACCTGGCCTAGGCTAGACTTAGAGCATAAACATTGTATGTTGATTTAGGATTATGCATATTGTCATATTTGTTCATGCCATATTTTGTCTAAGTTTAGTTGATGATTTACCATGTTTATTTTGAGGATTCATTATGTTGTAATTGGAGATTTATTTGTATTATGTTTCATTGGAGGCTTGTAATTGTAATATTGGACCTTGTGTATTATTGAAGATGATGTATGATGAAAGGGCATTCGACCTATTTTAGTTGATGAATTATGTGTATGTTTAAATAATGCATGCAAATGGATCAAAGTGATTGAAATGTTTTAAGTTTTGTAATTTGAGAAATGAAATGTAAAGTGAGAAAATGGAGATAAATTGTGATGGGTTGTAAGAGCATCAAGGCATTTCTGGTACTTGAGTGCCACCCATGTCTATTAGGAACCCTTGATGATAGATAACACACTTTTGATAAAGTGGGATATGTTGGAAAAACAAAGGAGATGCTGTCAAAATTTCTATAAAATGGCAGATTTTGGGTGAACTTCGGAAGATCATATCTCCCTCCACAGAGGTCCAATAGGGACGTGCCATATACCATTTTGAATATTGAGATGTCCAATACATTGTATCAAAATTTGAGAACCATAGGAGTAGTACGATGACCTGTAGAGGCCATGAAACCCAGACTGTCCAGAAATCCCTTGCACTTGAGGCTGTCGAGTCCTGTTTTTGGGAAATTTATTCCTACCTCAATTCTTGGTCAAATTAGGCCCATGATATGTCAAATTAAGCTTGAGGTGTCTAGTTTATTGTGTAAAAATTTGAGAGAAATTGGTGGAGTGGTTTGTCCGGAATCATGGAAAGAGTGAGGGATGTTTGGTGTCCTGTTTGAGGTTGGCTGGCAGATTTGCTCATCCAACTTCAAACGGTGATAACCGGAGCAAACGAGAACTTTTTGGAGCATTTGATAGCTTGTTGGAAATATAATTAAGTCTAAAATAACATACTAAAAGATGAGAGGTTTATGACGTGCGGATTTTATGCAGTATCCAAAATACTGAGCCATATTCGGATAGGAAAAAACCATAAAAGCGAGATTTATGCTAAGTGGGTTTATGGGAACCCCTTAGTGACTTGAGAGAAGTATTATATGATAGTTAGGAAATTAATGTTATTATTCGGCATTTAGTTTTTAGTTATGGTCACAGCTTTTATTCATTACGCTTTATTATTGTTTTAAATGCTCGCGTAATGAAAAGAAAAAAGTTTACTCGCATTTTTATAAATGAACTGTTGTGATTGTAACTGTGCTTAATATCATATCAATATTAACAATACCGGTACATAACGGGCTGTTAAGTTAAGAAAAATGCATGCAAACTGTTGATGTTCAAGTTGTAAATTTGACTATACATACTAAGTGTATGGTAATGATGTTGATATATGATTGATGATGGAATTAAGGTTGTGTGATGATTTGTTAATGAATTGTGTGATGAAAATACAAAGAAAATCCTAAGTTTTATCTATGTATGCATTTTGGCCAAGGGTAGGTAAATTAGGGTTTATGTGCAAAATGATTAATTGGATGTTTATAACATGAATTCAATGTGTATATGATTGTGTGGTGTCATTGGATTAAAGTTTGAATGCATAAAAGTCATGAAAATCTAATATGCATGTTTCAGCCATTTCAAGTTAAATGGGTATCCATAATGTTTAATTTATTTTGACTGATGTTATATGTATTTGGTGGATAATAAAATGTATGTGAATGGTTGGTTTAAGTGGTTGAACTTGTGAAAGTAATTTGACACTTAAAGTGTACAAAATCAATGATTTGAAAGCTTAAATTCAAGTATATGTTTTGGTGCATGATTAAGTGTTAAAGTGATGTAAAGAACGATGAATGAGAATCATGAAAATATGTATGAATGTGCGTGGATGTGTTGTGTAAGATTCGACCATGTTGGTTTTATATGGTTGTAATTGAAGTTAATTGGTAATTAAACTATAAAAGCTTAAATAAAGAGTGTGTAAGTAAGTTTAAAGGTTCAAGTCTCTAAATGTTAATATGTGGATGTGGGTTTAACTTAATATCAAGTTTAAAGATAGGTTGACTTGTGGCATGGACATAAATTGTTAAGAGTGAATTTGTACATTTCTATAAAAAATTGTTGACGAAATTTTTTTTTATCAAAATTCTTAACAGAATTTAAATTCCACCGAAAATTTTCGACGGAAATATTTTCGTTAAACTTTTTGGCAAAAAAAATTTCTGTCGTAATTTATAACGAAACACATTTCCAACAGAAAATATTTTTGTCAAGTTTTTTGATAAAAAATATTTTCATCAAAATTTTCAACGGAACGCATTTCTGTCAAACATTTTCGACAGAAAATATTTCCGTAAAAATTTTTGATAGGAAATATTTCGACAAAAAAATTTGACGAAAAAAAATTCTGTCAAAATTCTTTACAGAATCTAAATTTCATCGAAAGTTTCTAATGAAACATTCCCCTCAAAATTTCTAACAAAACAATTTCTGTCGAAATTTTCGTCAAAACATATTTCCATCAAAATTTTGAATGGAAAACGTTTTGTCAAAATTTTTGACAGAATTCTTTTTTCGTTTAAAACATTTGATGGAGGAAATTATTTTTGTCAAAACTTTTGATGGAAACTAAATTTCGTCGAAAATTTCGATAGAAAATTTATTTTTGTAAAAATTTTCATCGTTTGAAAAATTCTGTCGCTTTTCGACGAAAAGTATTATGACGAAAAAAAAAATTGTGACAAAATTTGCATCGTTTGCAACGTAAAAATTTCATAAAAAATATGAGCTTTTTTGGTGTTGTGAAAAGTACATAAATAATGTTGTTAGAAATTTTATATAATAATTATATTTATTGTAAAAAAGGGTAAAATGGTAAAAATATCTCATTAACCCTCAATTTTCCTCCTTTACTATTTTTTTAACTCCCAAACAAAGGAAAAGAATACCCTTCAATTTCCTTCCCTTCCTTCCCCTCCCTCCCCCTTGGATCCCCTTCCTTCCCTTTCCCTCCGAACTCCCAAACAAAGCCTAATGAAAGAGGTTTACATGCACTTGCCTTCTGGTTATCATAGACAGGGGGAGTCTATTCCCAATGTTGTGTGTAAATTACACAAGTCTTTATATGGGCTTAAACAAGCCTCTAGACAATGGTTTTCAAAATTTTCTTCAGCTATAACTTCTCTTGGTTTTACACAGTCCAAGGCTGATCATTCTTTATTCATTAAGCAATTTGATTCATTTTTTATAGCTCATCTCATATATGTGGATGATATACTTGTTGCCTCTAACAATTTATCTGAAGTACAGCTTCTCACTGCTCTTCTAGACAGCAAATTCAAGCTTAAGAACCTTGGTCCTGTCAAATATTTTTTGGGACTTGAAGTGGCCAGATCCTCCAAAGGAATTTCTCTCTGCCAGCACCAATATGCACTTAATATTTTGCAGGATGCTGGCCTTTCTGGTTGTAAACCAAAACCAACCCCTATGGAGGTCAACTTAAAGCTTTCATCACATGATGGTGACCCATTACCTGATCCCACTCCATTCAGAAGACTTATTGGCCGACTTCTTTACTTGACCATCACAAGGCCTGATCTCTCCTTTGCAGTTAATCATCTTAGCCAATACATGGCTGCTCCTCGGGTTCCTCACCTTCAAGCAGCTCATAGAATCCTTGCATATGTTAAATCTACAATTGGTCAAGGTCTATTCTTCCCCTCAAACTCTTCTTCACAGTTGTAAGTTTTTTGTGATTCAGATCGGGCCTCTTGCTTGGATAGCCATCGTTCTGTTTCTGGCTTTTGTGTTTTTCTTGGAGCTTTTCTCATCTCATGGAAATCAAAAAAGCAACACACCATTTCTAGAAGCTCGGCAGAGGCTGAATACCGTTCAATGGCTAATGCAGCCTATGAAATTCTTTGGCTCTTGCAATTACTCAAGGATCTTGGTCTTCCTCATTCTAATGCTGGTCATCTGTTTTATGACAACAAATCTGCTCTCCATATTGCAGATAATCCAGTTTTCCATGAGCGTACGAAGCACAATGAAATCGACTGTCACCTTGTTCGCGATTGCCTTGCTCTTTGTCAGTTAAAAACCTTCCACATTGCTTCTTCTCATCAGATTGCTGATATGCTAACCAAGGCTCTTCATCCAAGTCAATTTTCAGCTCTTCTCTCCAAGATGGGAGTTTTCAACATACACTCTCCATCTTGAGGGGGAGTATTAGAATATCACATTTTTTATTTTCTTTATTTTTTAGAGCCATGTCACCCAAGTGGTTGTAACAGAATTCTGTTACTCTTTTCCTTTATATTCGATGCACTGTACAGATACTTTGACACACGAGAATGAATATGCAATTTTTGTTTTCTGTTCTTCTCTTTGCTGCAAGTGCAGTTTTGCACTACTAACACAGTTTTAAGCTCTTATGCACACGCTTCCCCAAAAACCTTAATTTCAAACAATTTTCATTAGAAATTACAAATCATAGTCCTATATACCATTCATAACTTATTTTCAAACCTAGAGCTCAAAATTTATTCGGTACGCTCTACGGTGCAACTGTATCGCGATATTTTTACCCGGTAAAAATACTATTCATCATTTTTTCAGAAAATTGTCTATCCACTCAATTTTTCGTTCTGAATCCATTTTCGGGGTTATTTTTCCAATTGAGACCTTCTACTCAAATTTCCTTTCCCAGGGTTATGCGTTTGTCAATTTATCGTTTTACCCTTTTAACGTATTTTGGTTCTAAACTCAGGATTTTCACTAATCCTACCCTTTTAATCTATATTTTAAATTTAATAATATGATTTAGAATTATGAGGTATTATATTCACCCCTCCTTTTTGAAATTTTGTCCGCAAAATTAGCATCGTACCGGTCCACTAACTCGGGATATAGCCGGAGAGCCTCGTCCTTCAGCTCCCAAGTAGCCTCCTCAGGTGTGCGTCTTTACCATTTTACTTACGTCACATGCATAATCTTATTTTTGCGGTATCCATCGTTCCCCAATCCTTCACAAACACTTGCCAATTCCGGTAATATGACTTTTTAATTCACTATATTTTAAATTTTTCATAGGCCACAGTTGCACTTTCACTAATTTATAGGTAATAATATATCTATATTACAAATTTTTCTGCCTAACCTCACTTCATTTTCATCTTCATATATTTTTCTGACCCAAGGTCTTGCACTTTCTTTAGTTCTTCAATCCTTTCGTTGCCAATACTATTTCAATAATACCCCAATATACCAGTCTTTTCCACTAATAGTACTAATCTTACAATTTCGTTGATGACGTAGCTTTCCCATAAGCATATACCTTCTAGTTTTAACGGTACTCTACAATACCCAATAATCCCAACTCACAGTGTATTCCATATTTATATACTTTACTTAACTTTATCACATGTCTCCAATCTTCTTAGATAATCACAACTATATTTTCTCTTAGTGACACAGGGGCTAACAACCCTCATCATAGTTTATACTTCATGTCAGTCACTTCAAGGTCTTCATCCACAAATCCATTCATGAAACTTTCCATCTATAACTTCATATCTATAATTCATACCCATTGTTCATCTATTTATCAACTTAGCCATCTTAACTCTATCAACTTAGCCATCTCAAAGCCTAAACACAAAATCCATCAATGACCTCTGCATCAAAGGCCTCATGCCTAATATTTTCACCAACTCACCATTTTTACTTATCATTCAATGCCACTGTTGTAATTTAAACATATGTTTCACTTATTTATACCTTAATTTCGCAATCATCGACATTTGATTATGGATGTCCATCTCAATATACTCTACTATATTTCTTGCATATAAGTCCCATCACACTGGAATTTTCTAAACATAACCGTTTAATCACTTGGAACTAATTTCATCCTTAAACCAATTTCTCAAATTCTATCCGTCTTTTGTATCTCCAAAGGATATATTTCTCCCACAAGCACGTATAAATAAACATATAATACTCTAAGTCACTCTACCGAGCTATCAACTTTTTCTTCAACTGAACGTAATTTAAGTTAACAATCATTGTTACTTGACTTCCTCACAACTAACTTATCATTGAAGGCCATCAGGCCATCGTCTCAACTTAACATCTCATCATCACAAGCCTTCCTAGGAGAATATTTACTCAATCCATCAAAACTAAACAAGTTGTTATTCCTTTCACATAGGGTGAGAATCCCAACAAACTTCAAAACATCACGTGAAACCAAAATCCATATCCTCACACTTGGTGAACACACACTACAGAGTGCTCCGTAATCACGCCTCAGAAATCCTTCTCATGACGCCTCACATATTATACCCAATTTGATATATTACTATTCACCTAAAGTGCCTGACATCAAATCTTGTGTTCTTCACACGACATAATCTCTGTTGTGTAATACATAAGGCATCTAACCTATTCTAGCCGTCCTTTAATGAGTCTCCAAATTACTATATATTAAGGGTCTATATGAGCATGAAATTGATTAAAAGTTATGAGAATTATAATTAAATTGTTATTTTATTTTCAATAATATTCTCATAAGATTTCTTATATTTTGCAGTAAATTTCAGCTCAATAAGAGATAAATTAGAGAGTTCAAGTAGAGTTGCTTTGGATTTCTGAATCATTCAAGATCTTATAAAATCTTCGTTTGAATATTTTTAAGGAAAGCTTTCCATTAAATAAAAAAGGGAAGATTTGAAGTATTGGATCAAAGATATGATTAGAGATTCTAGTGAAGATTCCATTGAAGATATTATGAAAAATTAAAAGATATGGTTTCATCCCTATAAAAAGGCATCTCTTGGAAACACAAAGGCACAATTTTGACAGAGGCAAGCACATTCAGAGGAAGGAGGAGAACACCGGAGTCCAGAGTTGGAGATTTCAGAGAGAGAGGAGCTTGAAGGAGACTGAGCAATATTGATTCTTCTTCTTCTTCTTCTTTATGATTTCTTTTTCTTCCTGTTTTGTTTAAGCCAACTATGTCTGGCTATTTTTCTTAGTAGTTAGGAATATGGATCCGACATGAATCCTTGTTTTGGTTTAATTCTTTTCATTAATAAACTGTTTCAAATTATTTGTGTTTACCTTGATTTGCATGCTTAATTTCTTGTATGATCTGGCCAATTATATAGGGATAAAGATGGTTAGGGTTCACGATAGACATATTGGGATCTTGATCTAGACAGGGGTAGAACACCAATTCTTGCATGATCTAGACATAGATTTGTAGGAATTGCAAACTTTTATAATTCATCGCGCTTAAGGCTTAATCTAAAAGGGATTTCTAAGACATTAGGATTCTGATTGGGTTAAAGGGTTAAAGAACTAAGACATTTAGCCAATTAATTTCTAGACAATGAATTGTTTGAAATAATTGAGATAGAATATTACTGAATTATAATTAAACCAATTAAGGGGGATCGAAGGTGAAGTAAACCTAACTGCATTTTTATTCTTGATTTTAAAACTCAATTTTTATTTCAAATTAGCTTTTTAACTAATTTCTTTTATTGTCATCTTTATTAATATTTTAATTAAATATTGGTTACTTGCAAAAATTACTTTTGAATTGTCTAACTTAGATAAAAACGGTGAAACTATTGCTTGAATCTAGTCCTCGTGGGAACGATACTTTTACTTAATCACTTTATTACGTGTACGACTGGTATACTTGCCGTGTTCGCAACAAGTTTTTGGCGCCGTTGCCGGGGATTAAAAATCAACAATAGTAGTATCTGTGGAGTTTAAGATTAGACCTTTATTTTTATTTTTATTTTTATTTTTACCCTTACTGATTTTATTTTTTTAAAATTATGGTTTATGTGAGGTACAATTGATCCAAACGACTTGCTCTATGAACCAGAAATTGAAAAGATAGCAAGGGAGAATAGAAGGCTCACTAAGGAGCGAAAAGAAAAAGAAAGAGTGAACCGATCACTCTTCCAAGGAGAAACATCAACTATGGCTGAAGAAATACCATATGAGGATAACATGGAGAAATTCCTCAACCCATCATTTGCACCTGTCTCTTCTGCAATCATCATTCCACCAATCCAGGCCAACAACTTTGAAGTTCATCTGGCCTTCTTGTAGCTGTTCCAGAACAATCAATTTTCAGGGGAGGACGACTATGATCCCAATCTTCATGTGTCGGGATTTTTGGAGCTATGTCAGCTTCACAAGCATAATGGAGTTAGCACTGATGTTATTCGTCTGATTCTTTTTCCTTTTACATTGAAAGGAAGAGCAAAAGAATGGCTAAGGAATGAACCGGAAAGGAGCATCACTTCATGGGATGACTTTGTGGTTAAATTTAGAAAGAAGTTCTTTACTCTTTCTAAATTCATGCAGAAGAAGCGAGAGATTGATCATTTCTCTCAACATGATAGTGAATCGTTTTACACAGCTTGGAGGAGATTCAAAGGCTTATTGACCGCTTGCCCACAATATTCTGTTCAAGCAGGAGATAAAGTGAGGCTCTTCTACCATAGTATATGCCCTAATGATAGAAAATTTCTGAATGCGGCTGCTAATGGATCATTAGTTTACAAAGCTCCAGTTGCATCTCTACAACTCATTGAAGAATTAGCTGCTGAAGAGAATGAGGATATACCCAGCTCCAAAAGAGGCATTCTGCAAGTAGATAGACTTGACATCTTGATGACTGGTTAACAGAGTTTGCAGAAGCAGATGAAATCTCTCACAAAAATAGTTGCTAAGAATCAAATCTCTGCGATCAATGCTGAGGAACCAGTAGTATGTGACATATGTGCTGAAGGACATTTGACTGTGAATTTCCTGTTAGCTCAACCTTCAGAAGTCAACTATATGGGAAACTCGCAAAGGAACAACTACCAAGGTAATAATAACACGGGTTGGAGAAATAACTCAGGTCTCTCTTACAATACACAACCACAACATCCTGTTCCATCTAGCTCATATTCAGCTTTGGAGAAATTGGTGGAAACCATGGCTTCAACCACCAATGCTTTCATTCAAGAGACAAGATTGACCTTCAAGACTCAAGAGCCATCGATCAAGAATCAAGAGGCTTTAATCCAAAATCTTGAAACTCAAATTGGACAGTTGGCCAAGCAATTAAATGAAAGAACTCCGGGGATAATGCCTAGTGATACTGTGGTTAATCCAAGAGAGTACTGTAATGCAATCACCACTCAGAGTGGGAAGGTGATTGAACCTTAAGATAAGCCAGCCAAGATAGACAAAAAAGGGCCAAAGGATGAGGAAACAAAAGAGGAGGATACTAAGAAAGAAGAGACTCCTAATTATGATGATGTAACCTACTTTGGAGGAGCAATCAATCGTAATAAGAAAACTACAAATAAACCTCCATCAGGATTCAGTCAACCAGATCCTTATGCAAAAGCCCCATACCCTCTTCGGCTGAAGCAAGACAAAGAAAAGCAGCAGTACTCGAAGTTTATGGAGATGTTCAAGAAGTTGCAAATCAATATTCCTTTCTCTGAAGCCTTGGAGAACATGCCTCTTTATGCAAAACTCATGAAGGGTCTCTTGTCAAACAGGCATAAGCTCAGAGAGATGGAAACAATAGCTTTAACTAAAGAGAGTAGTGATGTGATCAAAAAGGGGTTGCCGTCTAAAGTCAAAGACCCAGGGAGATTTAGTATCCCTTGTACGATCGAGAATGTTAAAGTAGGAAGAGCTCTATATGATCTGGGAGCCAGTGTCAACTTGATGCCTCTTTCTTTTGCACGATCTTTGGGGATAACGGAGATGAAATCTACCTTGATGTCTCTTCAATTTGCTGATAGATCCATCAAAAGGCCAGAAGGAGTGCTAGAAGATGTCTTTGTAAAGGTAAATGATTATATATTTCCAGCGGATTTTGTTGTGCTTAATATGGAGGAAGATGACAATATGCCTCTCATCTTGGGGAGACCATTCTTAGCAACTTCTAGGACATTGATTGATGTGGAAAAATGATAGATGATCTTTAGAGTTAATGGTGGTGAATTCAAGATGAATGTTTTTAAGGCCATGAAGCATCCTGAAGATAAAAAAGACTGCTTTCAGATCGATGTAATTGAAGAAGCAGTCTCATAGAAGATCCTTGAAGAAGCAAATCCTCCCACTATTGAAGATCAGTTTGCATACATTTTGCACTCCTCGGAGTTACTGAATGATGATCAACTAACTGAGGTAGTTAAAGCCATCGATTCAACTGAAGTTTCAAATGCACGGAAAGAAGAGCTAGTTGAATTGATCAGGAAACCTGAAGGTCAAGTTTACTATATTGTTGAAAAAGAATGTTGAGGAAAGAAACAAGAAGAAAATTCATCAGAAATATGAGGAATGTTGCGACATCGTAAAGTAATAAAATGTACTGAGTACGAGATCGTTCCCACGAGGATCAGAATTTTCAAGCACTAGTTCGCTAATTGCGTCTTAGTTGAACAATCAAAAGTTAGGTTTGAGAGAATAGTGATTTGAAGAACTTAAAATTAAAAACAAGTAATAACATGCAATTAAGAAATTTCAGAATTAAAAAGAATGAATAAAAGATGATGTTGATGAAGAATTTAAAATAAGCGTAGTTAAGGTTTCGACTTCCCTCAATATCCTCAATATGTTATGAATTAAACATTCAAGAATTTGTTTCTTAATATATTGTCAATCAATTCTTTCTAAGTTAATTAGGGCTCAATTCCTTGTTACCCTAAATTTATGTGATCTTGAAAGAACTCTAGTTCCCTGATTATTCCCTAAGAAAACATGCATTAAGATCAAGAATTTCAAGATTGCATAATTACCCTATGTCTATCCCTAGATCACAAGGATTATGATAAATTTACCAAGTAAGGGTTCATGCACCAACATCCCTATTGTTATACAATTCCCCGAAATCATTCTATAAGGAGCAAACTCATAGAAAGCAATAAAGACAATTAATTTATTCAATTATAAAAAGAACAGGATTCAGAGACAATTTAATTCATAAACATAAAGATTCAATTGGTTTCCATCTACCCTTAACTACATAAAAAAAACTACTCTAGCATACTGAATTCAAAAGAAATAATAAAGAAAAGAGAACCCCAAGCCTCCATTGACTTGGTTCTTCAATGTTCCAGCGCTCCGCAACAGGATTCCTCCTTCAATCTTGGTGTCTGGATGAGTATGTGAATTGGTGTATTGGTCTTGACCCCAAGCTCCTTATTTATAGCCATTGGAGTTGTATCCGTCATTAAATCTCCCAACGAATCCATATCAGATTTGTAATTGATTTCACAATTGTTTCTTCTTTTGCAATTAAATCTTGTAGATTGGTTGATAGATTTGAGCTTTGAATCTTGTTATATCCTACTTCAATCTTCCACGAATATCTTTTGATATGTTTCCGTTTTGGTTCCAGATATCGCAATCTGGAAAATCTTCATTAAATCTCAGCAAATCTTAGTGAATCTTTGCTGTCAGGAACGTGCTTGGGCGCTCAAGCGTTCTGTTGGCCGCTTGAGCGTGCCAATTCGCTTCAAATTGCTACTTCTGCCTGCCTTAGCGCGCTTGAGCGTGCTACTGGGCGCTCGAGCGTGCTCTTCGAGTCTGAATTTTTGTATTCTTGGGCACTTGAGCGTGCATCTGTGCGCTTGAGCGTCTTGACTTGCCCAGTTTGGCTATTTTTCCTGCTTTCAAGCGCTCGAGCGTCATCTTGTGTGCTTGAGCGTGCTCTTCTGGCTCTTAACTTGTAGGATTATGACTTCCCTTGATCCTTATTGAGCCACTACTTCTTTGTCATGATTTTTTTAGCACTTCTTAGCACCAATCTTTGTGGTTTTACCTTCAAAAATGCAAAAAACTTCAAAACGTAGCTCAATTTCCTATCTTATGACTTATATGTTGTAAAACCTTGAATTCCATGCATTCTACTACATAACTCTTGTATAATTTAGCCTAAAAACATGGTAAACCAAAGGTTTATCAAAGAACGCAAGCCAAAAGTTAAGATGGAAAAACTCAGGAGCAAGGGAAAGCATGTGAAGTCTAAATTTAGAGCTCCTGAGGCAACTTCTTCTCATTTATCTGTGCAGGAGTATTATGGAAGGACACAATATTGGATCAAGAAGACTGGTTCATTAATGATAGCATGCTTCCAACCACCATAATCATGAGGGGTACGTCAAGCTCGTGACGTTAAACAAGCGCTAATTGGGAGGCAACCCAATAATTTTTTCTATTTCGTATCTTTTATTTTATTTTTTATTTTTATTTATTGTATTTTATTTTATTTTTATTTGATTAAAAGATGGTGTATTTTAAAGTGGTTGCGAAAATTTTGTGAGTGAAAAATTTGTAAGAAAAGTAGAAGAGTCCGCACCCTATACGCCTATTTGGCGTATCATACGCCACTTGAAGTGGTAGAGAACATCTCGTTGCGGTTCGTACGCCAAATTGGCGTATCAAAATGCCAAAAAGCTAGTGCCTCCTGTACAGACCCAAGACGTTCGCGCCTCGCACGCCAATTTGGCGTATCGAACGCCAATTCTAAATGGTTTCTGTGACCATGGCGTAGCAAGCACCCAATATTCTATTAGTTGGCGTCTGGAGCGCGAAGTGAAGTAAAGTAAGAGAATGATAAATTGAATTAATAAAAGATTTTATTTTATTTTTTATTTTTTTTAAGAACCCTTCTCATCTTGGACCACCACTTCTATAGCCGGACAACCACCACAGACCCATAGCAATCTCCATAGAAATCGGTGAGCCTCATCCTTCAACTCCTTCTTCCAACCACCGATTCAACATCATCACCGCCAGCCACCACGTGTTCACTAGCCACCATAAACCACCTTGGGCCACCAAGTCCAAAACAACCGTACCACCCAACCAACCAACCCAAAGCACCACCGCCTCACATCATTCGAAGACCAACCACAATCCTCCCTTCTTCCATTCAACTTAATCGGTCTCCATAACACCATTAACCAAGCCCCACCATTAGCAAAACCGACCACCATCACAGCCCTTTCATAGCCACCATCACCTTTCTTTCTTCCAAACCACAACCGTCACCCACAACCTCCACCGTGGACCACCTCCTCTTCACAACTGGTCAAGCTGATTGTCCCTCAATCACAACACCCACAACTTCCACCATCCTCTTCCTTCCATAGCCACGACCCAATACCAGCCCACCTTCCAAAAAGTTATACCACCGACCCATTCATTCTCCCTAACCATCATATCAAATCGCACAGCCCACCACAACCCCATCTTCTTCGGCCAACACCATCCACAATCTCCTTTGCACAGCACCTTCTTCCTTTTCTTATTATTAATTTTTATTTATTTATTCCACAAACCCAGCCCACATCCTCCTTCCTCACCGATCCAAATCTCCAAACAACCTCCACATCCACTGTCCCATCTTCTTCCTCGGTCAAACCTCACCATCGAGCCACCCACACCGCCGATCTGAACCACCTTCTTCCACCAACCTTCTCCAAAACCCCAACTGAACCACACTCCAATATCCACCCACGTAACCATCCTCATCTTACATACCCACATTTCACCGTGGAAACCATTTTTTATTTATTTATTTTTTGAAACCCCAATACCACAGCCACAAGCTTTATACATTCGGTCCATTTTGCATGTTAATATGGCATTACATTGGCTGAGCCAAATGGAATTGTGGGGATTATTTTATTGTTTGATTGTAAGCATAAATAAGTAAGTATGGAATTTGGATTTTTATGCATGATTATCCGGAAATTCTGAAATCCTTATCACTGGGGAACACTTGCTAGATTATTGTGAGAGAAGTTCAAAAGCAATCTGGTACTTGTTAGTGCAAGAAAAGCAATCTGGTCCTTGTTTTTTTTTTGAAAAGCAAACAGGAAACATAAAAACAAAAAAAGAAACTAGGAACACCTCCTAGATCAAACTACTCCTACATAGTCCCTTTCAAGTTTGTCACGACAACCAGAAGGAGGCGAGTCAAACTCTTGTAAAGACCAATCAAAGGAGTAGGCAAAAGAGGCCATCCAATCGGCAACCCCATTCCCTTCCCTATGAATATGGGAAATTCTAACCCTCCAATTCCAATCCAGCATATTCCTTATGCGCAAGACCAAGTTAGAGGCTGGATGATGAGAGCTACACCCTTCTTTTATGAAAAACTGGGCTACTAAGGAATCACCTTCAAGCCAGACAAAACGGAAACCTTTCCTCCATGCAATCTCAAGCCCAAGGAGACAACCCCAAAGTTCTGCTAGCAAAACATTACCACAGCCAAGATTTTTACAAAAGCCAACAAGCCACCTTCCACTAGCATTCCTAAATACACCCTCACAAGCAGAAACTTCTCCATTATTCATACTTGACCCATCCACATTAAGCTTAACCCAAGGGTCCGAAGGAAAAACCCAAAAAACTAATCTAGTCCTTGTTAGTGCAAGGAAGTTTTTGCTTTTTTTTCTTTTTTTGAAAATTAATGAAATTACTAAAAAAACAAAGTTACTACTCAGTACACATTTTTGCTTTTCTTTGATTATTAGTTAAGGGATCTGATTTAATGCTTCATATAAAAATTTCAAATATTTTAATATAAAAAATAATAAATCACATATTATTATCTAATAAAAGATCAAACAAAAATATAATGATCGTGATACAGGACTTTAGATTAAGTAAACGACATCTCTAATTATAAATCAAATCAAATTTTTTTGCATAGTGCATAATTAAGATAATATTAGTGTTGTATGTACATAACTTATGTAAGTCAATAAGCAAAAAAATATTCAAATATGTTCATTATAATTTTTGTTTAGGACCGGGCCGGGTCACCGGTTAACCGACCGGGTCACCGGTTTTTATGAAAACCGACCGGGTCGGACCGGGACGCACCGATTCTGATACATAACTGATCCGTTGCTTCAACCAAACCGGTTATATGACCGGTTTACCAGTTTCCGAGTCGACCCGGCCGGGTCAGTCCGTTTTCCTAACACTGATTTGAATTTGTTGATAAAAATCACTTTTAAATGTGTTGTAATTATTAAAAAGAGTATATAAATATTGTTTAAAATAATGATGTAATATTAAATTATCAGGATATTTTTGTTGATACATATTTAGTTGAGTTTTTCTTCATTGCAAAAGCAACAAAATGTGTTTCCCAAAAAAAAAAAAAAAAAATAGCAACAAAATGTTACTTCTATAGTTCCGAGTTTTCTGACAACAGAACCACGATTTTAATGTAAAACTATTTTGCCCAAAAAAATTGTAAACATATTAGTATAAATTTGAAGCTATGTTTTTAGTTTCAAAAGTGATTTTATAAAGATAATTTTGTTGCAAAAAGAAACTTTTTTGCAGTGAGTTCCATTTTATTGTGTCTGAAAAAACAAACCCTTCTATGAATTATAAACATTCTATATCCTAATAGTTGGCTAAAATGGTCTCGAGAGTTTTCCTTCCTACAGGTCAGTTGGTCTTCGTCCGGATGTCTGGCACAGTTTGGTTTCGACGAAATATTCTAGACTCTAGAGGAGTGTGGAAAGAGGGAAGGATTATTTCTTTCTTACTTGCTGGCACTTACGGGCTTGGAGGAAGAAAAAAAAAAATGCATAACCCAGGGTTTTTAAACTAAACTGAGGTATTTTGACAGAGTAGGAACCTGCTCCTCTCATCAAGCTGAGTTGTCGGGTATTTTGACAGAGCTACAAAACTGTTGGTCTGTAGGGGCCAAACAACTAATGATAGAAGGGGACAATCTCAATATCATGAATCAGTTGCAAGTTCAGGTTCCTAGTTTCCCATAGAATCATCTTATAGTCAATAGTCATGGTGAGATTCTGGCTGCATAAGAGTGGACTGTTGTTCTTAAGTACAATCCAGGAAATTAACGAAGGGTGGGCACTCAATAAGTTTAAGTATATATAGATCTGGATCTGATCTTGAATGCGACTTACGAGCAGCTGCCAGCTGGCTAGGTTTGATTTAGATCTAAATCTGGACGGATTGCGATTCAACTGGATCGATAATGGAGGAAGAAGCAAATGTTCCAACTTCCAATAACGCAGATTGAGGTTTGAGAGGAGATGAATCAGTATGTAGATGCAAACGATGGGTCTGGAATAGAGCTCTCTGCTGTTAGGTTTGAATAATAAAGGTGGAGGAGAAAAAAAAATTCAAAGGAAAATAAAATAGAATGGGGGAAATTAAAGGGGTAGAATATCGTAATAATCAACAGGATTACTATCAATGTTACTACCAATCAATTTTACCATTAAATCAATTATGTTGATCCAACGGTTATATTTAATCTTTGTATGGTTATGATCCCCATATTTAATGTAAAAGCATTAAATATAGAAAATTATAACTATACAAAGGTAAAAATAAATATAAAGTATTAAATATGGAGAATCATAACCATACAAAGACGAAAATAAATATAATCGGTGGATCAACATAATCGATCTAACGGTGAAATTGATTAGTAGTAACATTAGTAGTAACCCTAATTGGTTCTTACAATATCCTACCCCAATATTAATTTGGAAAGTTTAAATTTTAAGAGAAAAATATTTTTATTTTTTACATCATATTTTAAGGGTGGACACTTGCCCCCCTTCTCATACACTTAGATCTGCCTCTGCTCAAGCATATTTATATATGAATGCAAATAAGTGTGCTTAGTAGCAGGCTCATGAGGGCTTCAAACTGGAATGAAGGTTATACTAGCGCCGCTCCAGGTTGCTGAAATATATAAAACTATTAATATAGTCTCACCCAACAGTTTAAGTTTTTTGGTTGAATTGGTTCTTCACATAATATCATCGGAGCTTTGGTGTATAGGGTTCGATCCTCACCTTCTTCGCACAAGTAAGTGAGTCTGTGTATCGTCCACCCTTCAAGCCCAGTGATAAACTCTCGTGACTCAAGAGCTTAAGCTTTTTGAATTGATTCTTTACAAGGTTGGACTAGTTTATAGAGGCTGATCATAAAACTAGTTGTGCTAGTAGGGTAGTTTTGAATTTGATGTAATATTTCTTTTTTCTATTTTCTTTTTTCTTTGCGGGGCTTAAAAAAAAGCAAAAAATAAAATAAAATTATACCCATCTTTCCGTGTTACTGCCTAGATTCCTCTGTTTTTCTTATCTGCTTTTTCTTTTGCCTATTGCTCTGGGCCTCTGCCCAATATTTTCCAAGTTAGTAAGAGTTGAAATTCTAATACAAATAAGGTCCCAGACATACTATTCGTCTTTCTACAAGATATTATATAAAAAAAATAGGAAAGTGTAAAGAAAAAATAAAAACACTGCTCCTTATGGGTGTTGCTAAAGGAACTAAGGCTCTGTTTTTAAAAATAATTTTTGGTTTTCAGAACAAAAAAATTAATTTGGTAAGGTCTGTTTTATAAAAAAAAAAAAAAAAAAAAAAAAATTAAAAACTGTAACTATTTTTTTATTTTTAGAATCAAATTTAAAGAACATGTATGGGTTGTTTTTGTTTTCTGTTTTCTATTTTGGTTTTTAACTTTCAAAACAAAAAAATACAGAAAATAATTTTTTCCATAACTATTCTACAAAACAGTTTTAAAAAGAAAAAAAAAAACCAGAACACAATCAAACAGGCCCTAAGTTTTTTTTTTTTTCTTATCTTTCCTTTTAAAAGGATATCAATACCTTTAGGGCTTGTTTGAGAGTTAGTTTTAGGAGGGAAAGGAAAGGAAGAAAATGGTTTTATTAATGTCTTCCCTTATTTGTAAGTTTAAAAAAGTGAGGAGAAGGAATTGGAAAATTTCATAAAACTCTCCAAAATCATTCTTATTCTTAAAATTAAAATTCTCCCATTTTATGGGGTTTTAACTCCGAAACTTGGGAAGAAAATACCCTCCATTTTTCTTCCCTTCCTTCCTTTGGATCCCTTCCCTTCCAAACTCAGGAATAAAGCCTTAATGAGTAGTCAAATATTTATCACTTTATAAAAACATGTTGAGGGCCTGATTGGCCTGCTCTAAAGCCTTATGCAAGGGCGTAACAGCGTAAGGCCCGAAAGATTAAAGAGCTGTGCAAGTTGAAGTTGAGAGAGGCTACGTGGCAGGCAATGAATGGAGACAAGGGATGCATTGGTAACGCTGAGGATTCCGGAATATAGGGTGGCTCTGAGGTGTGTAAAAAAGAAACGCATATTCTGACTGTAAATTGAAGTGGACAGCTCTGAGCAGGGTGTGCCTTAAGCTGAGGTTTGTGTTAGTATTGCGCATAAATCCTTCCAATTCCTTCCAATGGGGTAGTTAATTGGGAGTGATTTTCTTGGTGTAATTAGTTGAGCCTGTTCAAGATATCACCATTGTCGACGAGTCCTTGCCATTGGAAGTCTGTTATTGACTTATTTCCTGATTACTGTTTGTGAATTTCACTAGTTTGTATCAGAATTATTTTCTGTTCCCAATTGATTTACTGGTACCATTAGGCCCATTCAGTATAATCAAGAACCAATATATGTTTGATCAAAGCTGAAAAAAAGGATGGGTGCCACTGCCAGATTAATCCCGCTTCTCTATTACTGCAATTTTCTAGCGAACACTGCTGCCGCTTTTTTATTTTTTATTTTTTATTTTATTTTCCTTTCTGTTGATCAGAACTAGTCCTAATATCGAGACGTTGACTTTCCTTTCCTTTGAAGGGTTTAGCAACAAATTTTTTCAGGACAAAAAGAATATTTCAAGAATACGATCCATTAATCCAATAAATATTAAAACCTCAAAATGTAAACTCTAGCATAACAAGCCCTTAGGAAAAAGCAGGTAGGAAGTGCGGAGTGCCCTGCCAAATTGAATGCATAAAATACCAAACATGATGATGGACACAGTTCATACCTAAAGGGAGAGCAATTCATACAAATATGTCAGCAACAGATTTTCTCCTTCAATTTTTCCCCTTCTTTATGCTTCCGCTTTCCGGTGGGATGAGTAACAACAGAATGGAAAGATCAATCGAGCTCCTTTAATACGTTTACATCACAATCCTTAAAGCTTCTTTGAGTTCAAGACATCCTCCCATGCAGGCAAGAAACAAAAAGAATGTATTTATGTATAATAATCCTGATTGTGCACCAGATATTTTGCATCCCGAAGTTCCAAATGTGTGGCAGCTGCACTAAAGAACTTAGGGTTGAAGATATGCTCAACATAAAAAGAAAAAAGACAAGTTCAGACAAATAACCACCAACCCTGAATTTTATATGGCATCTAATTGTGGGAACAGCTTTTCCAGCATGTTATTTGAAAGGATCCTATTGGGATCCAGTTCCTTTCTTGCCTTGTTGTATGCATCCATAGGAAACCGCTTTCTTATCCTTGCTTGGAGTTCTACAAGCTCCTCCTTGTCCTTTGGAACCTAGATATCAGATAATATGCACAGAAATTAAATGTTCTTCAGATACATTCCTTTCATTTTGCAATTGAAATCTTTGGTGATATCAGCCTTTTAACACCTGGGATGGTACTTAGTTTTCAAGGATAAGTGTTAGGGTTGGACCCTAAGGATTTGTTTGGGAGTTAGTTTCAGGAGGGAAAAGAAAGGAAGAGAAGGATTTTATTAATCCCTTCCCTTATTTGTGAGTTTAAAAAAGTGAGAGAAAGGAATTGAGGATTTTCACGAAACCCTCCAAAACCCTTCTTTTTCTTAAAATTAAAGTTATCCCAATTTGGGGAGTTTTAAGAGGTAAAAGATTTTAAATTTCTTATTTACCCTTATAATTAAAGTCAAAACCTCACTCTCTCTTTCTGATTTCCTCCTTTTCTAACGATTCTGAATGTGCACATTGTTGACATTAAACTTAGAAACTTTTCTTTCTCTTTTCCTATTCTTTTCTCACTAACCAAACAGGTTTTTCTTGCCAACATTATCATCACAAGCTACAAGGCAATTAAGAATGAACTAAAGTGGAGTCCATGAACCCTCTGTTGAGCAGGTGCTGGTGAAGAATCAGTCCAAAGTCATCAGGGAGCATAGCTTTTAGAATTAACATTGAATTAGTGAAGCGTATGAAAAGTTTGAGTGTTCTGTCTGTTCACTTTAGCTGTAGTTAGAGCCCTCAATAAAATTAATAGTCCACAACTACTAATTGATTAACTGCCAGGTGTCTAAGGTATAACATGAGTCGTAACATTTCCTATGTAGGAACAGATCCAAGATATTATGTAGGACAAATCATATTGGTAATTATATATGAGGAAATTTGGCTAAACATCATATGATTTAGATTATGAGAATAATTAGTATATCATATCCAAATACCCTGTTGGATTATTTATTATTCATGATGCCTACATAATTACCTCAATCTTAGCCCAATGTTCATAAGCAGAGTAAGGATCCCATAATTTTGCCCAAGTCAGATGCCTGTAATGAAAGAATTCTTCCGTTATATCCTTCCTCTGGCGAGCATCCATGGTAGGGAGGTACATGATTATACCGACCTAAAACACCATCAAAAGTATAATTATCTACCAAAATCTTCCGAACAGCATTATAATGTTAAAATTCATAGAAGGCAAGGGTTATATTTTTATTGATTCCAAACATGAAATTAAAGGCCAAGAAAGACAATACTATAAGCAGTTGACTAAAAGTAAAGCCAAGTAAGGGGTTTAATGCCTATTGGGTATTTTTTTTTTTTTCCAGCAATTAAGTTATATTTCTCCACACACAAAAAAATACTATAAGCAGTAAACTAAAAGTAAAGCCTAGTAAGGGGTTTAATGCCTATTGGGTATATTTTTTTTTTCCAGCAAATAAGTTATATTTCTCCACACACACACAACAACAAAAATGCATGTCTGGAGAAGCTGAAGTTTTAGCTTTTAACAAAAAGGCATTTCATCTTTTTCCAAAAGCTGCTGATATTTTTAAATCCCACCTGCACCCCCAAAAGTTTCTTTATACAAAACGCAAAAAAATAAAAAATAAAAAGGAAGAAGAAGCTCATTGAAACATGCACTTAGACTCAACCATTCGAACACCCCATGTCTAAGAAATTAAATAAATTTTTTGAACAATTATAAGAGAAATGACAAGCTCATGCATTTCAATTTTTGTCAACTAAAACAGTGAAAACATAAAGATTATTAATATGTAAACTTTAACATGCAATGACTAAAATTAATGTGTGATATGACATCAAATGCAGTAATAGAGAACAAATAAGACAGTGCTAAGCTCATGCGACCACGTAATACCAGTTCATCCCGATATAGATTAAGAATTTATTATTAGATCTATTATGTTCAATTATCCAAGACAGGATTATATTACCCAAGTAAAAATATCATCCTCGGATGGGCTTGAAGCAGGACTTAAGGGACTCCTACTGCTAGAGGTCCATCGCTGCTCAATTGGAGCAGGTGCAGGTATCTCTTCTTTCTCTATAAGTTGCTTCAGCTCTTCAATATATTCAAGGTCTTTCATGCTTGGCTTAGCCAGTTTTCCAGCAGGGAAGCATGTCTCCGATACCCACTGTTGACCTCCACAATCAAAGCCCAATATTTCATCACTCCATCCAACCCTATACCCTTCTGACTTCTGCCAGAACTCAGCCTCAGCTTGATTGACTTTGATGATGTGCTTTGTATTCAGAGGATCTAGGGCAATTAGCTTATCTCTTAATTCTGTGAAAGAAAGCTCATCTATATGTTGTTCACCATCATCTGATGATTTACCCCTGGATCCTTCTGCTCTGTAAAGAAGAATAGAAACTCATGTACTTAAACAGAAAAGTTCACAACAAGGTAACTGCAAAATAATAACAAAATTAACTAATGACATAAAAGAGAATGAAAGTCGTTGAGAACAAGCTGCTAACAGAGAAAACAACGTAAACTGTGGTAAAAGCAGAAGAAAATCAACATGAGATTAAAGCATTTTCAGATTATAAATGAATTTTTGTATCAACAACTCTCAGATCAACAAGAAAAGTACATTAACAATTACCAGTCCATGCCTACCACTTTACATTTAACTACTATAATTTTTGCAGCCCCACAAAAGGTTAAATGACAGCAGCTATAGACTTTTTGATAACTCATTCAGTCTGTCTAATTCTACCTCTGAATGTAAGTTTAAATCATATGAAATAAGAAATGTCACAAAAAGAAGACAAACAACTAAGTGTTTACAATTGCAGAAAAAGGGAGAGCAAGTCGCAGCTTATACTAGCACTTATTTGGTTGCAAAATAGTCATAGCAATACTTTTCTCTTATATCAAGGACCACAGTACCTCCAAGTCAAAATAAATTGATAAATAATACAATCAATAGACTAGGAGCAACCGTACCCATATTTCTGTAGGGACTCCCTATAAAGGTCACGCACATGCTGTATGGCTTCATCTTTAGTATATTTTGGTTTGAACTTGGGAGGACCTTTCCACTTTGAAACAGGATTGCATCTCACAACCACAACAGAGTCGGTATAAGGTATATGAAGGTACTTGACATGCTTATTCTCAGATAGTAATTTCCTGCATAAGATAGAAAAAGGTTAATCTAAATCCCAGTAGGCAGATCCTTAATCAGTTAGACCAAAGGCAACAAAAATAGAAGATATGGGTATACACTTACACACGATTACAAAGATTATATTAGAGTAAACACATACTTTGGTCCTTCAAAGATATATGTAACATCATATTGGTCCACCATTTATCAGTGACATCAAATTGGTCATTCAATGAATAACTAATGCTATCACTATCTTCATTCAAAGACAAAATCAATGCCACTTTGAGGACCAATTTGATGTTACATACATGTTTCGAGGACTGATTTGTATATTTATAAATAGAGTACCAATTTGATGTTGCATATATATGGAGGACCTAAATGGATATTTATTTGATTATATTGATATATTTGATAATTGCTCTGAATTTAAAATTACCATAACCACACCATTCTGAATCTATTGGTGTATAATATCAGGTGTAACTTGGAGGTCATAGGTTCCAATTACAGAAATAACATCTCCACTTATGGGGTTAAGGCTGCATACATCAGACCCACCCAAAACCCACAATGGTGAAAGCCTTGTGCACTGAGTCACTCTTTTATTATTATTAAAATAAAGTCAATAAACCCTTAAATTGGTCTTCCCAAAATTAGTAGGTCATCACAATAGTTCTTCAAAGATTTTTGACACCAAATTAGCTCCTCAAAGATAGAAAATCGTTATCAAATTTGTTCTTTAGTATCACCAAGTTAGTCCTCCATATTCGAGTTCTTGAGAGAAGCCATAGATGCAAGAGAGAGAGAGAGAGAAAAAAAAGATATTTTGGATCTGAATCTGTATTATGAAAACTGAATCTTACACAAAGTTACACTCTATCATTATATAGAGTGTGAGGATGCTGATTCAACAGATGAGTCAGATCTAAGAAACAAACAGAAAGCTAACTAAGCTATAACAGAAAGGAAGAAAAGATCTGATACATGCATGTGTACAATAAATCAGTAGACTGCTAATTGCTACTACATCACAGAAAGTAAGCTACTACTTATCTAATACACCCTCGCAAACTCGGGTCTTGAGGCAGTGAATCAAGAACCCTGAGTTTGGTTCTTAACTCAGCAAAACATCCAAGGGAAAGAGCCTTAGTTAGAGTATCTGCTAATTGATCTGAAGCTGGAATGTGCGAGACAATAAGCTCATGAGCAAGCACTCGTTCTCGAACAAAGAAGATATCTAGTTCCATATGCTTAGCACGAGCATGCAATATAGGATTATGAGAGAGGGCCACAATGCTAAAGTTATCACAAAATACTCGTGGAATAACAAAGGGAACTTGTAACTCGCGAAGAAGGGATTGAACCCACAAAATTTCAGCACAAGTGAGGGATAAACTTCGACACTCAGCCTCAGTTGTTGATCTTGCTACCAAGGTCTGTTTCTTGGACCACCAAGAAATGAGATTAGGACCCAAGAAGAGAGTTGCTCCTGATGTAGAACACCTATCATCAGGATCACTGGCCCAATCTGCATCACAGAATGCAGTAATAGAGAGAGGATGCTAAGGGACTGCCCTTTGAAGCACAAGCCCATATGTAACAGTCCCTTTTAAGTATCTTAGAATTCTTTAACTATTTTCTAGTGATCATCTAGAGGCTTCCCCATGAATTGGCAGACCTTGTTTACTGCATAACTGATCTCTGGACGAGTTATGGTTGCATATTGAAGAGCACCCACAATTGACCTGTAGAGATGAGGGTTTGACAAATAATTGGAGCCAAACCTTGAAAGTTTACAGCTAGAAGGCATGGGAGAGGAGATGCCTTTTGCATCAAACATGTCAGCACGAGTAAGCAAATCGCGAATATATTTGCATTGTGACATAATTAAACCACCAGAGAAATGAGGCTTTACCTCAATCCCAAGAAAGTAATCTAGGTTGCCAAGGTCTTTGACAGCAAACTGAGAATGAAGTTGATTAATCAGAGATTGGATGTAGGTATCATCAGTCCCAGTGACTATTATGTCATCTACATACACAAGGATATAGGTGCAGCGAGAAGAAGTCTTTGAGATGAATAAGGAAGGGTCCTAGCAGCTGGACTTGAAGCCAAACATCGTCAAAGCACCCTTCAATTTATCAAACCATGCTCTAGGGGCCTGTTTTTTAAGTCCATATAAAGCTTTGTTGTGCTTGCACACTAGTTTCTTATCAAAACTCTCAAAACCAGGGGGCTGATTCATGTAAACATCCTCTTGCAAATCACCATTTAGGAAAGCATTGTTGATGTCAAGTTGTCTAAGTGACCAAGAATGAGTAAGAGTAAGCATGATTCGAATAGTAACGGGTCTGACCACTGGTGAGAAGGTTTCATCGTAATCAAAATTTTCTTGTTGATGAAATCCCTTAGCCACTAGCCATGCCTTATATTTGTTCACTGTTCCATCAGGATTTTCTTTAACTTTAAAAACCCATTTGCAGCCAATTGACTTCCTGTTAGAGGGCAAAAAGACGAGTCCATGAATTATTAGTCATAAGTGCATTGTATTTAGCTTTCATTGCTTCAACCCAAGGTGGGCTGGCTAAGGCTTGCTTCACTATAGAAGGTTCTATATAAGCCAGTGGATCTAGCCAGAGACTTGGATCTGGTCATAATAGAACGAGTAGGTGAGGATTCCCTTAGGGAATTAGGGGGGACATACTCAGAACCCGAGGTGGATGAAGAAGAAGAAGCATTGGAAGACTACAATGGAGTTGCAGGGACACTGCTGTGTGGCACTGGTGATGCAGGAACAGTGCAAGGAGAAGAAGGAATGGGGGAACCAGACTTAGATTGTGACTAGAGAGGCTGTTGAAGAGGAGAAACAGGTGAAGAACGTGACTCAGAAACTAAGGGAGACACTAAGGGGGCGTTTGGTAGAGGATAATTTTTTTTTTATCCGAGAAACTCGATTTTCAGAAATATGATTTTTACATTCAGTTTACGATAATATCCGAAAATTAAAAATTTAGAAAAATTCAGTTTTCCGGGAATCCTGGAGAATGCCGCGTACCAAACGTCCCCTAAAGGTATCTGGGCAGAAACTAGAATGACAGGTGCAGGATCAGCATTAGTGTTAGTCCAGAGAGCATAAGGGAAACTATTTTCATTGAAGAGGACATCCTTTGAGATGTAGATTCTGCCATCTTTATTTAAACAAACATACCCTTTATGACTTGTGGAATAACCCATGAATACACATTCTTGCGAACGAAACTCAAGTTTGTGATGATTATAAGGCCTAAGAAAAGGAAAACACGCACATCCAAACACCTTAAGGAAATGATAATCTGGAGTTTGATTATACAACTTGGTATAACGGACACCAAAACTTAATGAGGCTGTTGGAAGCCTATTAATAAGAAACACAGCTGAAAGAAAGGCATAATCCCAGAAAGTTAATGGTAAGGAGGCATGAGACAACAAGGTTAATCCCATCTCAACAATATGACGATGTTTGCGCTCTACAACCCCATTTTGACGGTGGGTGTGTGGGCATGCAAGTTTGTAAATGATGCCATGATGTTTGAGATAATCAGTGAATGGTCTAAATTTTCCACCCCAATCAGTTTGTAAAGCTTTAATGGGAAGTTGGAATTGAGTTGTTATCAAAGAGTGAAACTATTCGAAGGTTGAAAGAGCATCAAATTTTTGTTTTAACAGATATATCCAAGTGTATCTTGTGTTAGCATCTACAAATGAGATATAGTAAGTGTATCCCAAGGTAGATTTAAAAGGAGCTGGTCCCCATAAGTCACTATAGATGAGAGCAAATGGTGTATTATACTCAATTTGTGATGTAGATGAAGGGAGTTTGTGTGCTTTTCCAATACAGCATGAAGAACAAAAATCAATAGCATTTTTATTACAGATAGGAATATTACATTAGTTAAGCACCTTTGTCAAGTTTACAGTGAGGAGAGCTATCAGTATGAGCAAGTGGAGGACTGGAACTAGTGGAAGCCTGGAGAGAATGAGCTGGATTCGGAGCAAGGGAGATATCTGAAAAACGATAAAGACCATCATTGCCAAGTATTCCTCAAAGAAGAATATCATGAGAGTCCTGCGATTTTACAAAAGCAAATACTTGGATGAAACTCAAAATAGACAGAGTTATCTTTAGCAAATTGACTAACACTCATAAGATTTTTCATGATAGAAGGAACAAGCAACAGATTTTTAAGATGCAAGCATCTGTTAGAATCATAAGGTGACATAAATTTTGTGGAACCAATAGCTTGAATAGCCAAACCTTGCCCGTCACCAATGATGATCTGATCAGAACCACTCAGTTGCTGGCTATGTAGTAGATGCATAGGACTAGAAGTTACATGATGTGAGGCACCTGAATCTGGGAACCACTCAATAGTTGGAACAGAGAGTTGGAAGTAAACCAGGTTGTGCAGCAATCATAGCCTAAGGAGATGCTTGAACAGGCCTAACATACTAATAAGATCGTTGTTGAGTCTGTGTAGGCTGTCTCTGAACAAAGTATGGACAATTTGATTGTGTTTCTAGAGGAGGAAGAGTGGGCACAAAGTCTTCATCGAAGCGATGCCCGCAACTCTTCACATCGTGGCCATACTTGTGACACAACTGACAATACATGTTTTGTCTGCTTCCACGCCCTCGACCTCTGCTAGCTCTGCCATTATAGCGTCCCCGTCCTCTATTTGAAACATTAGAAAGAAAAGAATCATCAACTCCTGTCTGTCCAAAGGTCTGACCAGTGCTCTGTTCTTGAGTTGCGAAAACAGGGGCAAACAGAGGAGCAGATCCAGAAGTGTTACTCTGTTTTTGAGCTACATTCACAGTGGCTGATTCGAGAAGAGACTCACTCTCTTTTAACAATATATGTTCATGCGTCATTAACTCAATCGCCAGATCTTCAATCGAATAGGGATTTTCTCTTCCATGAACAGTAGTCACAAACGCGTTGTATTCAACTGGAAGTCCTTCCAGTATGTAATCAGTCCTATCTTCGTTCGTAACTGGATTTCCTATGGCTTTTATAGAATCCAATAGGATTTTGATGCGAGACAAGTAATCTTTCGCAGATCTGGTTCCTTTCTTTATAGATATGAGTTCTGAGCGTAAATGACGAGATCTGGACTTCATGCCTCCATGAAATAGCTTGTGGATCTTATCCCAATCTTCGTGAGTATACTTTACTCCAAATATCTCGTTCACTAATTATTCAAAGATAGTAGACAAGAGCCAAGACAAAAGCATCGAGTCTGGTGTAAGCCATTGAACATACGCTGGATTTTGAATATCATTCAATCGATCTTCTTCAGATTCATATTGGACAGGAATCTTTGGATTCACAAGGTGGCGATGAAGTTGATGTGACGTTATAATCGGCTCAATTATCTGATTCCAGAACAAATAATTGTTTTCTGTAAGCTTCAATGTAACTTGATGATGAAAAGAAGAGGAGCACAATTCTCCATTAGCTTTGCTTCTTTGTTCGACTTCAAAGATGATGGAGCATTGTTATCAGCCGTAGCACTGTTCTCAGAGTTAGAGGCGGAAGACATAGTGAAGGACGAAGATGGATCAGGCCCTCAGAATAAGAGCTCTGATACCATATTCGAGTTCTTGAGAGAAGCCATAGATGCAAGAAGAGAGAGAGAGAAGATATTTTGGACCTGAATCTGTATTATGAAAACTGAATCTTACACAAAGCTACACTCTATCATTATATAGAGTGTGAGGCTGCTGACTCAGCAGATGAGTCAGATCTAACAAACAAACAGAAAGCTAACTAAGCTATAACAGAAAGGAAGAAAAGATCTGATACATGCATGTGTACAATAAATCAGTAGATTGCTAATTGCCACTACATCACAGAAAGTAAGCTACTACTTATCTAATACTCCACAAGGATGAATGTGGATGAAGTTTAAGATCTTTGAGAGATTAATGTGGTGACAAAAATCTTGAGGACAATAGCATTACACTGTATGTTTTGGAGGACCAATTTAGGGATTTACTCTCATTATTATTATTATTATTATTATTATTATTATAGCAGCTGGTATTAAACTTAGCAAGTTCTTAATCTTAGTTCCACATTACAAACAACAACAGAGTAAAATTAATGTGGTAATGATGATCAATATATTTGCTAATTTATTAATGTACCCAGAAGAAGAAGAAGAAGGATTTTTGAAGCAGTTACTTGTGATTTTTCTTTATCTCATTCATGGTTGAGACAGCTGTGTGCTCCACGAGCTCATGTCGATCAACACATTGAAGAGTGACTTCAGCCACAACTCCAAGTCCCCCAAGACCACAACGAGCAAGATAAAACAGCTCAGGATCTTTCTCTTTCGAGATCTCTATTGTCCCCTTGGCAGGGGTGACCAGTTTCAAGGCAATCACTTGTTCATCAATAGGAGGCAATCTTGCACCAGTGCCATGTGCACCAACCTAAAGCACACGAATGGAAAGAATTATATAGTTCACAAAAATGGTGAGAGGGATAGAATATAGCTCACTAAACAACATTAATCTCGGCAAAACCTATTTTAGATGAATCAAATGCATGCCCTCGATTTCAGGTGGGTAAAGCAAAAACAATTGTGTTAAAAAGAAGAAAACATAATAATAATAATAATATTAATAATTGAAAACCTGAATGATGCCACCAATTTGCTGCTCCCTAATGGATGCAAAATTCTGCAGTGTAAGGCCATGGTCCTTAATCCCATCGACAAGCTGCTGAACCCTAATCCCAGCTTCCACCCTCACAGTCTTCTTCTGGTTATCAACTTCCAAGATCCTATCCATCAACCCCAAATTCACCATACCAGCCCTTGATAACCCGATGCCGTTGGGGGACAGCCCCGACCCGACCGGGCGGATCCGGGTCTTCTTCTCGTTCGCCTCACTCGCCACGCGCTCCAGCTGCTCCAGGTTCTCGGGCTGGTGGAAGTGTCGGGTCATGACCTCGTGGGTCCCACTCCAGTTAGACACCGTGTGGAGGTCATCCGGCAAGGGCGCATAGCGGAATAGCTGAGCCTTCTTGTCCCTAGCGTTTTCCGGCAATGGGAATGAGTAGTATGTGGCGGCGCCGCAGAATAAGAGGAGGGCCCCGTAGCCCAGGTACTTCCGGAGTTGGGCATCGGCGGACGAAGAAGTGGGTTCCGGGGAGGACGAGTATCGGCGGAGAAGAAGTTGGGGCGGATGGGAATGTGAAGAGGTGGAAGAGTGGCACTGGCACTGGCACTGATGATAGCGGATACGATGGGAACGTCTCTGAACTAAAGCTCTCAGCATCTCTCTACGCACGAGAGTGGACTGTGACTGAGACTGAGACTCCGTATCAAAATACAACTTGGAAAAGATAGAGAAAAAGGAGTTTTTCCGTTTTTGCTTTCTTTCTTAGCCCACATTTAACGACGGAAATATTACTAATTGAAAATGTCAAAATTTTACTTTGGTAGTATAAGTTATATTTAATTTTTTTTTTTTTTAAATTTGATGTGTCGGATAGGCATGTGGCTGTTAGATGCTTGAGAGTTTAGTGTTTGGATTGATTTCAACTTTTTCAAAAGCTGTTTTTTTTTTTAAATAAAAAATGTTTTTAGAATTTTTTTGACTGTTTGATGTTAGTTTTTAAAAAAAAGTAAAAGCCAATAAAAAATGTCAAAATATGACTTTTCTCAAGGGGTTGTTTGGTGTAGGAGAAATTTTTTTTATCAAGAATAAAAATTTGCTTGAAATATGATGGGAATAATTTTTTGCCAGATAAGTTAAAAAAAAGTGTTTGGTAGGCCATAATTTTTCTGAGAAAATTAGATGAATTTTACTGATGTTATGTTTGGTTGAAAGGTAAAAAATAATGGGAATATTAACAAAGTTACGAAAATACCCATCTTCTGTCAAACGTTAACCTGATGCATTGTCTCTCTCTTCCTCTCTCTCAAACATTGTTTGCTTCTTTGAGTCCATCACCTCTGCTGTTGGATCTGGTTGTACGGTTGTCGGAGAACTCTTGATCACCACCAATCCCGCCGTCTGTGACACCTTTCCATCCGCCGTCCCCACTGTTTGCAACTCTTGCAGCGCTAAGCTGTGGATACCCACCAACGATTGAAACATGGTTTTTACAGGCCTATGGTTTGTGAAAGCCACACATGTGTCTGGATATTGGTTCAGGTTCAACAAAGACCATTGCAGGCGCTACACCAAACATGTGTCTTAAGGCTGAACATTCGGGACCACATGCATCTGTTTATATGACTAGGCTTAGCATGACCCTCATTTGTTTCACCAGCAAAAAGAGAGATGCAACTGCCACTCTTGGGGTACCATTTCGAACTCCATAGATACTCTCATGCACAAAATTTCCACATGTGGTTGACAGAGTATGTGTACCATGTCTCTCGGGATTAACAAGTTGTTTGCTGTGATGGCTGCAAGTTTGCCATGAAATGGGATTTAAGCTTTGGTGATGAATCTTGATCCAATTAGCTTCCACTTTTCTACAAGAGCAATGTAATGAAGAAAATACGAACATTTTTGTACTGACCCATAACAAAAGTGAAGAATATGAAGACTTGGGTTTAGTGTCAATAAAGTTGCAATGCTTCAGACAAACGATGAGCACAACTTCACGAAATGTGCAAGTTTGGACAAGACTGAATCTGATAAACTAGGACTCATAAGGGTGTTTTGGTCTTAAAAAAGTGTTTTCACTTTACCCCAGCATGGGAAGTTTTTGTTACCATATTCTCAATGGGTATCTCCCATCCGGTTTCATAGAAGAAAACAAGTTGATGGGAACAAAAGGTTCCAACCAAAATTTTAACTTTTCCTTCTACCAAACATGACCAACTTTGTTTCCCTACCTCACTTTCCAGGGAAATTATTTTTTTCCACCCTACCAAACATCCCCCAAAAGTTAAATTCTTTTGCTTTTAGAAAAATGAGAAACCAAAAGCAAGTGAATGACCCTCGTTTACCCCTCAGTTTCCTTCGTTATTGAATAGGGTAGATGCAAAGAAAACATCATAATCAAGCAAATTGGACACTCACGAACTGAACTAGAGAACGCCAAAGGTTGAGATATACAATGACATGATCAAGGCTGTTCGCAGTTGCAGATCCAAAAACAGAGTTTTTGCGAAGAAGGATATACAAAATGCACTGTTGAACCAATCAACATAAAAAAGAAAAAGGTTTAGAGAAAGAGAGAAAAAGTGAAACGTTGGTGTTCTTTCTATTCAAACTTAAAAGGGCGCACATTGGAGAGCTTCAAACCTTATAATGCATAAAACGATCACAATGGACACGCGAGAAAAGATAGAAGCATAATGAACAAAGAGCAAATGACCCAACAGTAATTTTATACTAAGTGTTTTTTTATTTTAAAATTCAAATGATATTTTTACTTAAAAGTACTTTTCAAATATTGCGTCCAAACACAAAATAACTTTGGCTTTAAAAAAAAAAAAACAACTCATAAAAAATCCTTTTTTCAAAAGCCCATCAAAATAAGCCCATTTTCTTTGCTCTGAGTTGCCATACTTTCATGTGGCTATTGAGACTTGATGTTATAGTTTTCCTTGCCATGAGTTGTTAGATTTGCATGTGGCTATATATGCTTGAGGTTAAATTTTTACGTCCTTCGAGTTGCTTACAGTTTTCGTTACTGATTTTTCAATCTCTACGCTTTTCCTTCTTATTTTTTTATTGAAACGTAATTATAATAGACAAAGAAACAAAAAGCCAGTAGGATTGGTCAAATGGTGAGGGGTTTGGGTAGTTTGTATTAGATTATGTATTCAATTCCTACCATTGTTTGCAAAAAAAAAAATAGACAAAGAAAGAAAGAATGAATTATTTTCTTTTCTTTATATAAATTTGTATATAAAAAATGTAACTATCCAATTCTAAAGAATATGACTACTCCTGTCGAATAGTTAGGAGTCTAATGAAGAAAATTCGGTGCATGCTTTTTAATTGTGGTCTACCTAAATTATTTTGGGCTGAAGCAGCTTTTGCAACCTGCTTTGTTGTTAATTGTTCTCCTTCAATTGCTATTAAGATAATGAATTCTAAAGTGGTATTGTCGGTTACTCTTGCAAATTATTCTATTTTAAAATTATTTGAATATCATGAATATCTTGTTAATCCCTCTCCTCCTAGTTGTTGAAGTGATGCATGACAATATGAATTAAACAAACAAGTTGAGCTTGAAATTGAGACAAAATTGTCGTTAGAATATTCATCACAATCAAGTTCTAGAGCTGAGTCTGAGACTGTTGTTAGGTCAAAAGCTGTTGGGTGAAAAATATATATATGTTGTAGAACGTTCCTTAGTTCGTTAAGAGAAGACACAATTGTTCTCTTAGTTCAACCCAAGTGCGCAAGTGCACGCATCAAGTAATAAATGGGAGTATTATGCCCAGATTATTGTTCCCACGAGGATAGAATTCTAATTAATGTCTTATACTGTTTTATAAAGAATGAAAATGAAAAGAAAAGTTAGTAATTGACCTGTATGGTCAAACGTTCCCTACTGTCTTGACAACGTTCCTCAAGGACAGTAGGTTCAATCAGACAGCAAACAGTTCATCGCTTCGTTATGTATGTTATCCTTCTTGTTTAGAGAAGGAACAACAATATTCATGAGAGATTTATAGATACAAGATTAAATAAAGAAAAAATACAAAAAAGTAATAACAATAGTCAAGAGACAACAGGGTGGATGGTTTAAAAACAATAATAACATAAGGAACGGATCCCCTGCTCCATTCATAAATAATTATTTTCTCTACTCGACACTCAACACTTTTGCCTTGCAAGGTCCTGAGTTAAGGTACCAGAAGCTGGAAAAAGTGGCATTTGCCTTGCTGATTACGACGATGATATTATGGCCATACTTTCAAGGACAACAGATAGTAGTCCGAACTAATCAACCTATACGGCAGGTTTTGCATAAGCCGAATCTGGCAGGGAGAATGACTAACTGGGCAATTGAACTCTCTGAATATGATATAACGTATGAAAGTCGAAAGGCCATCAAGTCACAAGCTTTGGCCGACTTTGTAATGGAACTCACCCCAGTTAGCACAGAAATGGGAGAAGATGAAGATATTTGGAGAGTGTATGTAGATGGATCCTCCAATGATAAAGGAAGTGGAGCTGGCATCATACTCGAAAGTCCAGAAGGGGTGGCAATAGAACATTCCTTGAACCTGGGCTTCCCAACTTCAAATAATCAAGCTGAGTATGAAGCCCTAATAGCTGGATTGATGTAGGCTAAAGAACACGGGGCTAAAAAGGTTAAAGTCTTCAGTGACTCCCAATTGATGACTTCTCAAATAGAAGGAAAATATCAATGGGCTGATGAAATACCTAAGTAAGGTTCGAGAAATGATGGCCGAGTTTGAGGAGGTAAAGATTGCCCATATTCCTTAAGGGAAAAACAGCCGAGCTGACATCTTGTCCAAATTGGCAAGTACAAAGAATCCAGGAAATCACAGAACCGTGGTCCAGCAACGTAGAACTGAGTCGAGTTGTGTGATGATAATCACCTCGACAAATGATTGGAGGCAACCCATAGTGGCATACCTTGAAAAAGGAACATTGCCTGAAGACCCACTGGAGTCGAGGAAGCTGGTCCGAGATACAACACAATATGCAATAGTGGAGGATCAGTTGTACAGAAAGGGATTGGATATCCCTATGCTGAAATGCTTGAACACGGAGGAAGAAGAATATGTGCTGACCGAGATACATGAAAGAATCAATGGCCACCACATGGGGGGTAGAGCTTTGGCTAGAAAGGCCTCCGAGTTGGCTACTATTGACCAACTATGGAAGCAGACTCCAAAGAACATGTCAAAAGATGCGACAGTTGTCAGAAGCATGCCAGGCTAATTCCTTCACCACCAGAAGAATTGAAATATATCTCGACTCCATAACCCTTTTTCAAATGGGGGATGGATTTGCTAGGACCCTTGAAAGCTGCTAAAGGACAATTGAAGTGGCTAATTGTAGTCGTAGATTACTTCACCAAGTGGATAGAAGTAGAACGCGTTACAACAATAACCTCGGCCAGGGTACAAAGGTGTTAGTATTTGGGTGTCCTAGAGACAATCTTATGATTAAATATGGACATAGATGTAGACCTTTTTCAAACATTGTCGCAAATAAATAAAAGCACTCTTTATCTTGTTTCATAATTCTGTCTCGATATTAATGTTAATATATTATGAATAACTTGATAAACCCTGTGGAATAAAATAGGTATCTCTTGAATATCTGTGATGAGATCACAATCATGAGGATTCAAGAATACCAGATGCTTATTCCTAATATTATGTTCCTAGTCTAGAGATACTGAGAA